AAATATGTCTCATAAGATAGAGCGTCCTTGTTCGTGAATAGTGTAATGTCTTGAACGCATCATTCAACTCAATCTTTAGAATCCTAATTATAAATTTTCTCTTTGAAAATTCAAGATTGTTGATCGTTCTGTGACTTTGTAAATTACATTTAAAGTTTTTTAATCCATATAAATGTCGTGGTATTATGTTATTGTATATACAAAATTTGAGAAATTTAATGCGAATCGATTGTTTAATCATGTTCTTGCGATATTTTACCCATTGCTTCATAAGTTTGTATTATTGCTTCATAAGCTTGTATTATTGTTATGTATTAGAGTCTAGTTTGTAAACCCGCCAACCGTATGGTACCTTCTTCCCCCTCTTTTCTTACACTCCAGTGTATGTTATGGCCGCTAGTAACGAGCACACAACGTGTGTATCCGTGCCTCTTAATAAAAGTGCCAGTACGAGTATTCACGAGTCATTGACAATCCCAATTCCCCGGTCAATACACAATAAATTGGTGTCAGAACGTGGCTTTTGTACAGTGGAAGAGGATTCTAGCAGATTTCACCGGGAAATCATCAAATTAATAGTTGCCGAGTAAGCAACCTAGAAATCCGAGATGGACGTTCCACCGGAACTTGTGCAAGCAATTGCAAGCATGATGGTTAGCGCTATCCAAGCGTCGACAACGCAAACTTCGGCCACTGTGGGTCCTAATGGCGGACCTCCGACGTCGGCGCAGTTCCTAAAACCACCGCCGTTCTCAATAAGCGAATACCGATTATTAGAAGGATCTTCGGTTGAAGATTATTTCAAGCGATTCGACTGGGCACTTCAACTAAGCAAGATATCAGAAGAGCAACACGCTAATTTTAACCGAGTATATATGGGCAGTGAGTTAAATAACGTTCTTAAATTCTTAATTAATCTGCGGTTACCGGAAGAGCTAACCTATAACGAGTTACGAACAGTACTAATTAACCATTTCGATCGCGTTAAAAACAGATACGTAGAGAGCATTAAATTCCGTCATATTGTGCAACAGAAAGGAGAAAGTATTGCTGCCTTTGCATTGCGCCTCAAACAGGGCTCCGCGTATTGTGAGTACGGAGAGTTCCTTGACAGGATGCTCATCGAACAATTTCTTCATGGACTTTCATTGCGCGATATATGCGACGAGATTATTAGTAAAAAGCCAACGACGTTCGCGGAAGCATACGAGATTGCGCACACGCTCGAAGCTACACGGGATACTAGCAATGAGGTTAAAACTACCGGATCGGGAAACACATACGAAGTAGTACATAAGTTGGGATACGCACCCCAACAATTCAAGCATCGGAAAAAGGATGCACATAAAAAACCAAGTTATGAACGTGATTATTATAAGAAAAATTCTCGCTTTCAAGGGCAGGACGATAAGCAGAGCACCACCAAAACCACACGTAGTTGCGGAAGCTGTGGAGGACCGCACCCCCGTGCCAAATGCAAATTTTTCGGAGCTGTATGTCATAATTGTAAGAAGAAAGGACACATCGCTAAAGTGTGCAGAGCGATGAAGCAAATGCAAGGCCCCGCAGATTTGACAGATCAGGATACAGCTGACACAAAAACTACAGTACGAGTCGATGTAATACAACGTTTAGACAAGCTAACAAAATTAACAAGCTTGATTTTTCATCTAAACGCATGCTTAAGATTCAGATCGATGGTCGAGATCTTGAAATGGAGCTAGACACTGGTGCGCCTTGTGGTATTGTAAGTAAACAAACTTTATTTTTTATCAAACCCGCTTGCAAATTATTCAAGACGGATAGACGCTTTGCAAGTTACACAGGCCACGGTGTTAATTGTATTGGACGCATTCCAGTCGAGGTTACATTAGGTAAAACCTCTCGAAAATTAAATCTATATGTTGTGGATGGTAATTTCGACTCACTATTTGGCAGGGAATGGATCTCTCATTTTGTCCACGAAATTAAATTCCACGAGCTTTTTAACTCACCCGACGATATTCATGCAGTTACCACATTAGCTCCTGAATTATCCAGAGAACAGAAGACTCGTCTAGATCAATTCTTAATGAACTACAAAGATGTATTCAGTACTTCGCCAGGCAAACTCTCAGGGCCGCCAGTCTCAGTCCATTTTAAACCAGGAACATCTCCTGTTTTCGCTCGTGCACGAGAAGTGCCGTTAGCGTTGCGTGATGCATACGCCAAGGAAATCGATGCTAAAATAGCATCCGGATTTTACGAGAGAGTGAAGCATTCAGAGTGGGCTTCGACAACGCATATAGTAATAAAGAAAAATGGTAAATTGCGAATCACGGGTAACTACAAACCTACATTAAATCATTATCGTCATAGATGAATATCCTATTCCAAGACCGGAGTATTTATTTAATAAGATGAAGGACGCAAAACTTCTGCCACTTAGACGTCACAGATGCATATACACATTTGCCGGTTGACGCAGAATTCAGTTACGCATTAACATTGAATACTCCAACTCATGGTCTGATCCGTCCTACATGTGCTGTCTACGGAGCAGCTAATGTACCAGCGGTTTGGCAACGCAAAATAGAGTCAGTCTTGCAAGATATTCCAAACGTTCTCAATTTCTTTAACGATATTTTAGTTTTTGCAGACAACTTCGATAACCTCATATTCTCCTTGGATGCAGTTCTACAACGATTGAGGAACAACGGTCTGAAGCTAAATCGAGACAAATGCATCTTTGCTACTACAACCGTAGAATTCTTAGGACATAAAATTGATGCACAGGGAATTCATAAATCCGACAAGCACATTCAAGCTATTAGAGATGCGCCGAAACCGTCAACGCCAGAGGAACTTCAATTATTTTTAGGCAAAGCAACGTATTATGGATCTTTTATTGCCAATCTTTTGAGTAGAAGCCGTCCACTACGGGACATATTACGT